CTGAGACACAGGACAAGCTGTAGCCCAGCCCCTGGCTCCTTCATTTGCTAGTTGGCAGCCCTGGACATGCCTGCAGTCTCCGGGCCCAGATTCCTCATCTGTAAACTGAGAGTGAGAACTGTATCTTAGGCACTGCGGTACTTTGACATTACATAAGACATCAAAAGCTCTCAGAACCAGGCTTGACACGTGAAAAATACCCAATACAGGCTAATTATTGCATCACTCCGGAAGCAGAGGCAGGAATATCCTAAAATAAGACTTGAAAAGCTGTGTCCTTTTTTGGCCTGGGATCTGCTGATATGGCTCTGCAATGCCTCCTGTGGACAGCTTGGGTGCCTGAGTGGTGACCCCGGGTGGAGGATGTGGTCCCCTCTCTGCCTGAGCTGGGGTCCTGAAGCACTGAGTGGCCCTCAGCCAGCAGCGTTGTCTTTCTCTGTTTAGATGAAGCCCTTTCCCGTGAAAAGCCTTGGAGCTTGAATCCAGTGTGCAAAGGAGCCCATGGGAAGTGAGCAAAGAGAGGACCCTTCCAGTGAGGGGGATGTTACTGGGCCTCCTTTGAGGAGGGGGTCACACCGCTCAGACCTTCCTCCTGGTCCACCCTAGGGTCCGTTCCCAGCGCCCCACCTGAGTGCACATACAGGGCATCCTGCAGTGCCTCCTCCTCAGGCTCTTCCGTGGGACAGATGACCCCCAGCAAGACGTGGAGGAAGACAGATCCGAGGCTTAAACTCCATCACCAGCAGCACCCGTGCTGATGAGAGGAGCTAAAGCTATGGCAGCTCCCATCCCAGAAAGCTTTCTGGTGTCTGCATGCGATGGGCCCTGGGCCTTTTCCCGAGTGACCTCGAGCCGTTCTCCATGCAAACCCCGCCCCAGCGAAGCAGCACTGCACCTGCCAACTCCCTCCCTGCTGGGTGCACTGCACTCAGCTGTGGCAGGGGCCGCAGAGGCTGGGAGGGTGGCCTGCATCTGGGCCACCAGAGGGACACTAACAGTGTGGGGTTGTCCATACCCTGGGCCCTGTGGCCGGAATTCTGTTCTTACCCGTCCTGGTCTGCAGTTGTGAATGTCGAAACTCAGAAGCCTCCTTTGTTCACCTGTGTCTTCACCTGTCTGGCCAGTGTTCTCCTCCAAGTCCACTAATACAGTGCTTCCTCTTCCTCAGGCAGTTCCACAGAGAAGGTGCTGAGGGCATAGATGGCCACACCCGCCCTTAAGAACCTCTGACTCGGTCATTCACACACTCAGTGTCTGTGAATCTCCGAATGGAGAAACAAACGGAAAGGCAGGAAGTGACAGTGGGGGAGGGAGAGGCGGGAGGAGGCAGGGGCCTGGCTGGACTGGACCCTTCCAGAGTCTGCAGGGCGGGGCTGCCATTAGTTTATTTGTAAAGTTCCTCAGTGCACTTCAGATGCAAGAGAGAGGGGGAAAGTCATGGTCTAATCAGACACATTTTATAAATGTCTACACAGCCCACTGCATCTCTCCCAGGAGAGAGCACATTTCCTTCTGGCAGGTACCAGGGACTGCACTGTGTAATGAGCAGATCCGAAAAACACAATATGGCCACTTTTCACAGCGCACCTGCAGCGACACACCCACGCGCATACACATGCACGCACACTGCACACATGCACACATGCACACACTCTTAGCGTGGGGCCCAGTCCTTCCTTTAGAGGTAAGCAGAGAGGAGTAATAATTATCGCCAAACACACAGGAGTTCTGGAAGCTTTCTATAAGTTCTCAAGTGCTAAGTATTTTCTAAAGGGTGTTAACACTCAAATTAAATCCCCATGGATTCACTGATCCACACAGGCTGAGGCACTCCAAAGCCAGCTCGCCCCCTGGAAAAGGTCGGAACGAAGCGCTCAGCACCCCGGGCTACCCCGAGCACTACAGGACTTTGCAGAAGCCCACGCAGGCTGAGCGATGGTCCAGAAGAAAACACTTGCAAACAAGCTAGATGGCTTTTGCAGCTGGACTGCAGTTTGCCCTCAGGCTGAGGCAGCCCGACTCCAGGGCCCCCCCCACACACACACACAGCACGGGGCTCAGCTCAGAGGGGCCGGGCTGCTGCCCTGTCTCACAGCCGGGCACGGGTTCCGAATCCACAGAGCCTGTACGGCTGCAGACGGGAACGAGAGGAAGGCAGCTGGCACCCCTGGGAGGATGGGTGACACGGCTGGGGCTGAGTCTCGGGGTGGGAAGAACTTACTCGGTCGGGATCAAGGGCTCCAGTTATTTGAGGCCACGGTTTCCGGGAGGAAAGCGGAGTGGTGGGATCCTGTCTTGGCAGGGAGGGAGCTGCTGCTGGGTGGGAGCCCAGGCCTTGACCTCAGCTGTGGCCCTGTGACCAAGAATGCAAGGTGCGGCCAGTGCAGCCAGGACAGAAGTGAGCTCGTTCATCAAGGAGACAGCAATGCCGAAATTCCTGTAAATTCTCCGTGTAAAGCCCAATGTGTATTTGCCAGTGTCTTATCCCCAAGCTGTTCTAGTTGTGGCTGATGGTGACACGTTAGGGGTCTGAAAAGACAACTATGTGTGGCTTGTGCAAAGAAAGGGGGTGTGCACATGTATATGCGCATGTAGGTGTGCAGTGGAATATTATGAAGCCTTGAAAAAGGAGATCTTGCCATTTGTCACACACAGATGAGCCTAGAGGACATTATGCTGGGTGGACTAAGCCAGACACTGAAAGAAATAAATATATTGCATCCTATGAGTATATATACAAGGTGTGATGGAAAAATATGGTGAATATTTCAGTTTTTAAAATATTATTACAGTAAAAGACACATGGTCATTACTCCCCCTCCCCCGTGCCTCTAACACATTCATCTCCTCATTCCTGCTCCTCCTGCAGCAGTCTGGATCCCTCTTTCACGAGTGTCTTTAGTTGTGCTGTTGTGGCCACCTCGATGTCCTGAATCTGTTCAAAACGGTTTCCTTTCATGATCATTTTGCCTTTGGGGAGGAGCCAGAAGTCACACGGTGCCAGAGCTGGTGAACGAGGTGGATGAGGACACAGCGTCATGTTTTTGCAAGCCTGCCTTCCGCTTGGATGGCACCCAGCAGCAGCACTCGCCGTATTTTTGATCATGTTGTGTAAAGACGTTCATGAGAGAGGACTCCAGACTGCTTCAGAAAGTAGTGCAAATGATGCAATGAGTGTGTTGGAGGCAAGCGGATATTCTGATGGGGAACTCTTGGCAATGCGTCTTTTACTGTAATACATTATTTAATTTAAACATTCACTGTATGTTATGGTCACACCTTGTAAGAGAATTCTTTAAAACACAGACAAACTTACAGAGATAGAGAATAAGGTGGTGCTTACCTGGCCCAGGGGTGAGGGGGGACAGGCTGGCCTTGGGGAGCAGGCGCCGGACCTGATGTCCTGACCGGGTTTATAGGTGACAGGGCTGTGCTGCACTTGGATTCCTGCTGTCAGATGCTTTTGCCACAAAGACAGCCGGAAACGTGCATCTGTCAGTGAGAGGGTGGATGTGCTCGTCTGCATCTCTGAAATAACCCTTTACGCCCCGCGTGGCTCCGGAGACGGCCTGTTCTATGCCTTATACATGGCCCGATCCATTTTAGAGAAGAAAAAGGAGAGAAAATGGGATGGTATCTTCAGATTGCAGGTCCAAAACCAAAACCAGGAAAAAGGAAAAGAAAGGAAGCTGGGGGGCGGAAGGGGCCCGTGGGGCTGAATGGTTGGGATCCTGGTTGGATCGCAGTTCTCTCCTAAGCTTCTACAGAGAGAGAGAGGGGGCCAGAGTGAGAGAGAGGGGGAGAGAGAGAGAGAGGGAGAGAGGGAGAGAGAGGAAGAGGGGGGGAGGGGGGGGAGAGGACAGACTCAGAGCCAGGTGTCGCTTTTTCTGCTCTCCGCCCGCCCGCAGTCCATTGCAGCTGCTCCTGTTAGACACTGAGCGCTGGAGGCTGATGCGGGCTGAGCTCTGCCTGCGCCTGTTTTCTGCCTCCCGCCCCCTCCCTTTGTCTCCCCTCCTGCATCCTCCTCTTCCCGTCCCCATCTGTCTCTGTCTCCTCCTCTGTCCCTCTTCGTCCCGCAGTCACCCCTGCCCCAGGAGGAAGGGAGCCTGGCCTCTGACCTCTGGGGCCCTAGCGGGATGTCTGCCTGGGTTTGGCGGTGCCCGGGCGATGTCCCCTTAGCCCTCACTCCTGTGAACGGACACAGCGAGTCCTAAGTGGCGGAGGTCTGAGGTCAGCAGCCAAGGCGGCTTCCGGGGTTGCTGCAGAGGGCGGGCCTCTGACTGGCGTGGGCCGACTGGGCGGACTGGCTGTGGCCCCCCGCCCCCCGCCCCGTGCCATTGCTTTCACTGACCAGTAGAAGCGCGGGCAGTGTACAAACTCGCCACATGGACAGAGGCTGGAGAAACAGCAGCACTGAAATGGCCCTGGGGTCTCCGCGGGGCTGGCTCCGATGCAGCCTGCAGGGACCGTGGCGTTCAGCAGTCACCCACCCCAGGTGACCTCTGGCGGCTTCTCTGTGCCATCACACGGCCGTGGCCTTCCCTCGCGCCATCCTGGCCGCAGCACTGTGCAGTCCTCTCTCACCACCACAGGACACGAAGCTCACTGGCCTCATCACCCTAAAATTCCGTGCACCACCTCGGGCTGGCTGTGGCTTAGGAAATCTAATACACATGGCATAAAGGTCTCTCAGGGGCAGGAAAGAGTCCTGGACAGACAGTGGTTTAGAAAGCACCAAAGAATACAATCTCGGTGTGCCATGATTATTCGCCATCCCTGCCCTGCACATGGCGAGCAACCACAAAAAGAGGGGGCTGGGACCCTTGAGTGAGGGCGTCTCAGGCAGGCAGATGCAAGGGGAGAAGTGTGGGAGTGACAGTTTGTCCTTAGAGTATCTTGACAGGGATGCTGTAACCCCCCGCCATGCCTGTGGTGGTACTCATGGATTTGGGTGGCTGCAGCTGCTCCATCCCTCACAATTGCTCTCCTCTCCTCTCCAGTGCAGACAACAGCTCTGAGGAAGTCATGCAGATTGACGTGGAAGTAGAAGAGCCCAGTGATCCTCCAGCCACGCAGCTGGTCACCTGGCAGGTGGAGTACCCCGGAGACATCACCTCCGACCTGGGTGTGTCCAAGATCTACGTGAGTCAGAAGGACTTGGTTGGAGTGATCCCGCTAGCCATGGTAAGAAGGGGTGGGGAAGAGAGGCTCACACTGGCCCGGGGTGAGCAGGGGCCAGACAGCAAGGGCCAGGACTCAGGGGAGCCGGGCGGAGGGGTTTCCCGCCCACGGAGATTCTGACGCCTCTTCTATGTAAGATTCTTAAGTCTTTGTTGGAAACTGTGAGCTGCAGGCGTCAGACTTTCGTCTGTGTCTGTGTGAAGCTGCAGATTGTGTGATGGGAGCGACATGCGGTGTAGACTGAGGATCGGGCATGTGGGGCCTGGGAAGCCCACTCTGCAGCCCAGCTCGGGGCTGAGGCGCCACCGCGGGAGCAGGAGGGTGCAGGGGCTGCAGCCACCCTCCACCCGGGCTCAGGCTCGGCGCCGCGGCCCCTGCTCGCCGGCGTGCACCTGGGCTCTGTGCCTCAATTTCCCGATGTGCAGAGTCGAGAGAGAAACCATGCGACGCTGTCAGGTAGCACAGTGGCCGAGGGTTGCCGGCCGGTGTCCCCGGAGCTGCAGAGCTTGGCTGGGAACAGGTCAGGGTTTCCCCGGGCAGCGGGGCGAGTGTTCTGGGAAAGGAACCGCATCAGACGCCTGGTCCTGACCAGGCCCTGGGCCCTCAGCCCCGCAGTGAAGCCTGAGCCCTGACGCCGTCTGACTGTCACGGCTCCAAGTCCCCTTTCTCTGGTTGAGGAAGGAACTTGCCGGTGGAGCCACGGTGGTCGCCATTACTAAATTATTAGGTTCTTGGCAATTTTGTGTGCGTGGAGAGACGTTTGCCGGAGAGGCAGGAGGCATGCCCGATCATGCGGGGCTGGTGCAGGAATGAGGGTGGGGCTGTCCAAGGCCGAGTCCCAGGCTTAGGAAAATTGCCCAGGCTCTAAGCAGATGGAGTTTGGGGACCCTGGGGGGCGACCAAGGACGCAGGGGACCCGCCAGCACAGTTGTCCCGGTTTCCCACCTGGTTGTGAGCAACCAGGACTTGCCCAGCGGCTCCAGAGCCGGAGACGTGGCCTCCTGCAGCCAAGCCAGACCCAGGGCCTCATCTTCATCTCTAGGATCCCAAATCGCAACAACCATGGCAGACTTGCAGCAGCAGGGAGAGGCGGGGGGCGGGGTGGGGAGGCCTGGTCTCTGCTTAGCTCCACCTCAGCTCTAGTCCTTGGAGCTGCAAGGGAGGCGGGAAGGGACCAGACGCACTCAGGGTGGCAGAGGAAGGGGCAGCTGCGGGAAGCTGTCCTGGCCGTGCTGTGGGCCAGCGTCATGGCGGTGCAGAGAAGAGGGGAACCATCGGGGCCCCCGGGAGTGGGGGCTGTGTCCGAGCTGCAGTCCAGCCCCAGCTTACCCACATGGCTCCGGGACACTGCCGCCATCTTAACACTTACGAGAGCTGTCTCTGTTGTAAAAGACATTGTGGGGTTTTGTACAGCTGTCTTTGCATACCTCTCTGATTGATTCCTAGAGTTGATCATTTAGAAATAAACGTGAACCCAAGGACTTGAGTCCAAGGATATGCAATACTGTAAAACCTTTCTGTAATGATGGCCAAGGTGCCTCTACAAAGCCTCACTAATTTAGTCCCACCTGCTGAGTGTAATGATACTCAATCCCCTGCACTTCCACCAATGCAGAAGATTAAAATTTTTTGTTGTTTTTTTTTTGGTACCGGGGATCAAACTCGGGTCCTTGCACTTGTGCAGCAGGTGGCGAAACCACTGAGCTAAATCCCCGGCCCTAAAATTTTTTAAAAATAGACAATTGATTAAGTAAAAATTGTATCTCAGTGTTGCCCTAATTAGTCATTCATAGGATACATTTTTATTTCCTCACTAAAGATTTGTTCTTTGCCCATTTTATTTTCCTCCTGGGAATTCAACTTATTACTTTGTTATAGCTCTTTTTTTTTTATCATGGATAAAAAACCACATACTGTTAATTTAGCGTCTTAGCCATTTTAGGGATACAGCTTGGTAGCATGAAGTATGACACATTTATGTGCAGCCTGCAGAACTAAAACTTGACACCTCCAGACCCAAATCCCCCCGCCAGACCCTGGTGGCTGCCTTTCTCTACATTAGTCAGACTAACCTTTGCACTGTGGATCAGACATCCCTTCCTGATTACTGTTCGCCTTCTGGTGCCACTGCGTGTGTGTTTGAGATGCAGAAGGTTTTCCCATCTGTTTAATTTTTTATGTGGTCAAATCCATTGATTTTTTTTTCCATAATGGGAATCTCCCATCTTCCCTAATTTTTTCCAAGAGCAAAAACCATACCTGTTTTATTGTTCCTAGAAGATCTCCAGATAGTAAAATATTCTGAGGTGAGAGGATCCACAACCTTGAGAAGGTGGGGTGACCTTCCGAGGGCTGTCTCTGCTCCTGGAGGGACCCCGGCTCCATCGGAGCTGCACTCACGGCCTCTCGTGTCTGGCCGAGGCACAGCTTCATCACGGGAAGATTGGAAAGGAGACACAACTTCCGCTGATGCCCAGGGCCTTGAAAGCTTTCGCATTTTCTTAATCCAGTCGTGCATTTCTAAGAGTTGTGTTGCATCATTGTTTTCCTGTTCAGGGAGTTGTGTGTTACTTGTGTAGGGTAAAGTGTGTCCTCTGCAGGGAGGGAGTTCTGAGGAAAGGTGCTGAGGTGCATTAGCACTGATGTGCCGGGGCCATCTCCCGGGCCCGAATTCAGGTGGCAGTGGCTGCTATTCGCAGGACACTGTGCTGTGAGCAGAGGTCGCTGCGTTCAGTTGCTGCCTCCTGGGTTTTGCTGAGCAGGAGTCTGGGGCTCGCCCAGGGTTCAGACAGCCTGCTGACGTGCACTTCCCCACACCAGGGCCGCTGCAGCGAGCCCTTTGAAACACATCCCTGGGTCCTGTATGCCGACGCCACACACGCCCCTGTCGTGCCTTTGGGGAAGAGGGCTGTCCCAGTGTTCCAGCCGCAAGCTCAGGAAATGGAAGAGGCTGCCTCCACTCTCCTGGGGGCTTCAAGAACTTGCCCTCTTGCCCCGACTCCCGACCCAGTTCTCTTTTGGCTTTGCTCTTGGCCTTGGCTAGCAAGTTACTTATTATTATTGATCTGGGAGCAGGGATAAAGCTCTGCCTTGGGACCCGGGCAGCCAGGGTCTGTACTGGTCTCGAAAATAATCAGAGCCGAGCTCTCACCCGGAAGACGGCTGGTGGAGGTGACGTCGCATGGTATTTGCAGGGACGTGGGGTAAACCCCTCAAGTTGTCCAGGAGGTCACAGGGTTTTTAAGCAGAGATGAAGGATCACTGGGCCACACGCTCCTCCCAGGGGCCGTGTGTCTTGCTGTCACTTCCTGAGCGTGTCGGCACACTGCACTGGCAGACGTCTGGCTCCCCCGCTTCCCCCAGCCTCCTCTCCGGGGTCTGCTTTGACTCCCGCCTCAGGATCCCCTCTCACTTCCCCTCTGGTCCCTCTTTTGTCTTTCTCTCCGACCTCCCCTAAACCCACCGGATGTCCAAGCCCCCTTTCCAGAGGGGAAGCAGCAGACGGCGCGCTGCACTTCCGGCCTGCTGTCTCCTATACCCACGCCTGGTCCTGGGACACCCATGTGCTGCCCGAGCCACTCCGGCCCGACCTGGCCCTTGCTTGGCTGGATGCTGCCCCCCTCCCCGTGAGGTGCTGGGTGCCAGGGAAGCCTGTTCCTCCTTCCCAGTCTCGCCCATACCCTCTCGGCTTCCTGGCCATGGCCTGGGCCCGTGGGTCTCAGACTTGGAGGGAGCAGTGCCGTTCTGTAAAAGTCACAGCTGCCCCACACCTCGACTGGCAGTCGGTTAGCTTGCTCTGCTCTATACTCTGCTGAGAGACGCTTTAGATAGATCTGGCCACACTCAGGACCTTTCTCCCCTAAGAAGGCCCGCCCCTCCTCACCCTCACCACTGTCCACACCGCCCGCCCAGCCTCCTGGTCTGGCGTCACCTGGCCCGGCCCACGTCACCTCCCCATCTGAGACCTCCCCCAGCCCTGTCCTCCATGCTGTGCACCCAGTGGGAGCCCCAGTACCGCCCGCGGCAGCCCAGGGAGGGGTGAGCCCGCCTCCTCCCCACTGGCCGGCCCGGCCGGTGTGTGGCCCGCGGAGCTGACTCGGGTGGTGTCGCCCTCAGTCTAGCGGGGCCCTGAGCATGACCGTCACCCGCCGCACGGGGATGTGAAGCAGCCCCCACACCCGTGCTTGCCCAGCTCTGGGGTAGAACTCCCTTTTATTCCTGGCTCTCTTTGTTTGACTTTTCACGTACCTGTTCCCAGTCAGCCTGTTCATTAACATGCCAGATGCCCCGCTGTTGCTTTACTCCGACGTTTTGAAAATTCAGTCGCACTGCGGAGCACATTGCCACTTTCATTTTCGTACTTTCTCAACCAAGTGCAAATTAGGGCTCTGCATCAGTCCTTGAGAGAATCTCCGCTCCCAGGCGCCCTTCTTCTTTGTGTGTTTGTTGAGGGCCCCAAATCACCACTTGATAAGTTCGCCCAGCGCCTGCTGCTCATTACGCGCCAGGCCCTACAGCTCCGTGGACTCCTCATTTACATTAGCACTGCATGGCCACAGCCACTGGGGGAGTGGGTGCCACCTGACCCCACTTCCCAATGGACAGGGGCACTTGGAGCGAGTAGCTGACCCCAAGCTGCTCAGGAAGGTGCTGAGCCGGGGTCCGATGCCAGGTGGGAGGGTCCAAAGTTCCTGCCCGGAGCCCATTGCAGCATTCTGAAGAGTGAGAGCAGACTGGGCCACTGCCCATGCAATATGCAAAAAGATGTTTGGAAAATGCTAATCAAGGCGCACGCTCATGAAAATGAAATGGAGAAGTCTTATGGAAATAGGACAAATCATCGGAAAATGAATTATTTATTATGCACAAAGCCTCTGCCTTTCTTCCCGGCCCCTCGGCTGCCTTTGCTCCCTAATGAGCCTCCTTCCTCTGCAGAGGTGATTGGCAATGGGGCGGCTCCTGCAGCACAGTGGCTTGGCAGGTGCCCGGCATGGGCCGCTGCT